GGGGGGGGGGGGGGGGGGGGCACCAGGCAAGGAGAGTGTCTCCCTGGCCGACCAGAGCCCTCCCTGCTCCGTGTGGCCAAAGGAACAGGGCCCCCTCTTGCAGCTTTTTATGGCAGGGGACCCACTGAATCAGACACGCTAAGCTGGCAATCAAGGGTGTGTGTGTGGGGGGGTGTCCACCCAGTGCTGTAAAGACCAGGAAGGGCTAAAGCCGCCGGGACAACTGCACTCTCGGTCAGAAGGCCCGTGGCACCTCCTGGCTTCCGGCACGCCTCCCCTCCAGTGTCCGTAAAGCCTTCTGGCCGCTGCGTCCGGGACTTCGGCATGAAACGTCCCCCCTCGCCCGGAGGACTGGAGAGTCCCGGCCACCTCGCTCCAGGCCAGGCCAATCAGCCCGCGAAGGGGAGACACGTGGGGCTGGGTCTCCCCACTCTGCGGGTGCTGTGGCGGCAGCATTGGGCGCCCCATGCCGGATTCACGGGCTCTCCCTTCCCCTCGGGCAAGCTCCCAAACCGATTCCTCCTCCAAGGCGCCCCCAGCCGAAGAGGCTCGTTTGCTGCCTCTGAGCGTGCTCTGAACACCCCCCCCTCGGCTTGTGCCGAGCCCCCTTTCGAAGCGTGAGAGGAGACAAAGAGCAGCTGGCGTGGCACACTCGGACGCAGGGTTTCTGTGCAACTTGTTGAAAGGGTGCTTTTATTTTTACAACGGAAGCGGCAGATACATCCGTAGCTTCTCTCTGCCCCAGTCCTGCTACAGCGCCAGGCCAGGCCGGAGGGCTGCCGGGGCCATTCAGTTCGGGGCAGCAAAGGGTCTGAACCGCACCTTCCAGCACCGAACGCGGCCCTTGGGTCCCAGCGCACCAGCCGCTTCCGGGTGGTTTAAAGCCAAACGTGGCCAACTTCGTCAGCTAAACTTTGCCCAGCCAAAAGACGCTTCCGACGAGCCACCCGTAAACAAACGGCGCAGGGAAAGCACCTCTGTCTTCGGGTGGGAGGAGCAGAGTCTACGGCCAGCCTTCAGCCACTGTGGCCTCCCTGCCCCGCTGGAGACGGCAATGCTCGGAGTTGGCATCTGGGCCCTGCCCAACGCTGAGGTTCCTGGAAGTTCCTGGCAGACGCAGCCTCCTTGACCCCAACGGTTGCAACACGGCCCTCCCGTGCTTCCCCCCGTGTCCCTTCGATGGGTCCCAAAGGTCAGGACAGAAGAGACAACAGGACGTTTCCCAAGTTCTTGCCCTGAGTCAGTCCCGGAGTCTGCCCTGCCATGCCAGCGAAGGAGATCTCCATGTTTTAAGCACGGGAAGTGCCGCGCTCTGCCCAGAGAACCAGCCCCAGCTGCGTGCGGCTTACTTGTCGCTCCCCAGAGCCCTGCCTCTCTCCCCCCATCTGCTTCCTCCTCCTCTGCCTCCTGGCCCTTCCTGCTTTACCTGCTTCAGCCCAAATTCAGCCGCTGGGTCGCAATCCGCCTGCCAGTCCCAGCCTCCGCGTTCCAGGGGGATGGTGCTCCTTCCTCTCCCGTGGGGAGAGCCGCCCGCCCCCTGCCCCCGCCTGCTTTCCTGGCCGTTCAGTTTAAGCGTCTCTGGCCCGGGTGGGCAAGTCAAAGCGGGAGCTGGCAGGAGCAAAATCCAATCCGCTACAAATAGGCCTTCGTCAGGCGGTGCATTTGGGACCCCCCCAAAAAAGGGGGGCGGCTGAAGCTGCCACTCTGCTTAAAGACTACAACTGGCACTGCGGGGTCCTTGACCTTCAAGCCCCCTTCGCCGCTCCATATCTGGGGTGGGCAGACACGCCACGCGCGACAGACGACGTTCCTGGGCCCCGAATCCAAGAGGGCGCCAGCTGGAAGAGGAGGCCGGTCTGCTGGAGGAAGAGCCCCTGGGAAAGCTGCCGGGCCGGCCCCCCGGCCCCGCTCTCCTCTGTGGCCGGTGGCTCCCAACGGTGCGGTGGGTTCAGGTGGCCTGCTGCCAGCAGGTGAGCCCCCGCAGCTCGTCCCAGAAGAGGAGGCTGAGGACGGTGTGCGGTCCCAGGCGGAGGTAAGCGGGGCCGAGGCCCTTGTACAGGGCCAGGACGCCTTCCTTCCCCGAGACCCGCACGAAGCAGTCGAAGAAGCCGCGGTAATGCTTGCCCTGGGGGGGACAGGACAGGACAGCTGACGGGGCGACGGTCTCCCCACTGCGCCCACTGCACAAGGCCCCGTGAAGGTGTTCTCCCCCGCCGTGGGCGTCAAGCCCCTCCCCAAGCCTGCTTCCTCTGGGGCGAGAGCCTTACCATGCCCGTTTCGTCCACTGGCTGGTTGTAGAGCCGCGTGCTCACCACATCGAAGGGAGTCATGGCCACCGCCACGGCCACGCTGCTGATCATGCCGCCAGCAAGGGCCACCATCCAGCTGCCTTCCTTGAACCACTGGGAACCGGAAACCCAGGGAAACGGTAAAGGCGCCAATGCCACGCCAGGAGGGACCCGCCCCATCCCTTCGGGCCCCTCCTTCCCGCCTGGGGCCCCCTCACCTGCTGCTTTGCGACCCACTCCTTGGCGGAGGCAAAGGTGGCCAGCTGCACGGACGAGCCCACTGTGACCCGTGGCACCGCCCCGTTCACGCCTCGCCACAGCCCCAGCAGCCCCTGCTGCTTGTAAATGGCCTCAAAGGCCCCGGAAACGCTCTGCAAAGCGGGCAAAGAGACGACTGGCTCACCAGGTTGCACTCCTTCCTCAGGCCAGGTCAGTTCCTCCCTGCGGCCGTGCCGGGGGAGGGGGCCAAAAAAGGGAGAAACGGCGGCCGGCGGGAAGGTCCCATCCACCCTGGTGCCCACCCTGACCGTACGAAAGGACTAGGAAAAAGGCTGGGGGCACCGAAGGGAATCACACTGATCCCTGGCAGTGGGAGGGACCCGACTGGGCAAAGGCGAAGCGAAGCGGAGCTCTCTCCTCCTCAGGCAAAACGGCAAAAGGCCCAAACCGCCTCCCCTTCTCTCCGGCGGCGCCAATT